CTTATTTGCTTACTGCACAGATGTAGCCACTTATCTTTTCTAGGCCAATTGGGGTCAACCATCTTGGCATGCCAGATGTGTGAGATGTCACCTGAAGATGTAACCAACATTACATTATACACACCTCAGACTGGATGTCCAGTTTGAACAGTTGGGGGTGGGGACTTGGGATAACTTTATGTAATTTTTGTGCCTTCTGCTTCAGTTCTTGTATTTCTTCTGATGCTACCACTTCAGATTCAGTAGAAGTCCTTTTCTCTATAAAAATGGAGTTTCTTGGATCTTGACTGGAGCTACACCTGACACCACCGTTCTTTTTGCATTACAGTTAAATATGGGAATGTGACATCTCATAGTTTGAGGTCAACTATAGTAACTATAGCTTATATAATAAAATTATAGTTTGTGTACATAATCAGTAATTATACCAATTATAACAATCCTATAGTGACTCTATGGCACCATAGTAAGGTGATTTTATCATAGGTTTACCTCAACATTTTATCTCACATTTTGTATTGTCCACTACTTTCTAATATACAGTATGATATATCAGGTATGCAATATATATTTTTTTTTGCCACAGTTGCTGAGGGAATCAGTGCAGTTGTTAAGTTAGTAACCCGGTTGTTAAGTGAATCTGGCTTCCCAGTTGACTTTGCTTGTCAGAAGGTCCCAAAAGGGAATCACCTGGAACTGGAGAACACGGCAACTGTCATAAGTATGAACCAGTTTCCAAACTTTGATCACGTGACCATAGGGATGCTGAATAGGTCGTAAGTGTGAAAAACAGTTCATAACTCACTTTTTTCAGTGCTGAGGTAACTCTGAACGGTGGCTAAAATGTATTGTTGCAAGTCGAGGACTACCTGTATATATTTGCTGGTGTTTAATATTTATATTTGTGTTTGTATGCATCCTGTGCTTTATTGATGTAGAAAGTTAGCATCTACCCCTCTCCTACAAGAATGAAATATTCTACAGGGGTCTCCAATCTTGGCAAGTCTTAAAGTTGCTAAGGTTGGAGACCTCTGTATGTAGGAAATATTAAAAAGGCAGAATATTATACAGTATTTCCCTGGATGAGAAAAGGACAAATATGTTTTTAAAGACAAAGCCGCTTCCTGCAGCTCCCTGCCCTCCTCTTCAGCTCCAGGGTGAAAGGATTAAGACGGAGCCCTCAGAACATAATAGGATTACCCATTGCACCACATGACACCTGGGAATATTGCATCACCCAGCAGGATTCAGGTAACAGATAATCAGAGTTGGAAAGGACCTTGTAGGTCTTCTAGTCCAACCCCCTGCCCAAGCGGGAGACCCTACAAATGGCAGTCCAATCTCTTTTTGAAAGTCTCAAGTGATGATGCTCCCACAACTTCCAAGGGCAAACTGTTCTATTGGTTGATTGTTCTCACTGTCAGAAAGTTTCTCCTTATTTCCAGGTTGAATCTCTCCTTGTTCAGTTTCCATCTATTATTCCTTGTCTGGCTTTTGAGTGCTTTGGAAAATAGCTTGACCCCTTCCTCTCTGTGGCAGCCCCTCAAATATTGGAAGACCACTATCATGTCTCCCCTGGTCCTTCTCTTCACTAGACTAGCCAAGCCCAGTTCCTGTAACCATTCTTCATATGTTTTAGACTCCAGTCCCCTAATCATCCTGGTTGCTCTTCTCTGCATTCTTTTTCTAGAGTCTCAACGCCTTTTTTCTAGTGTGGTGACCAAAAGTGGATGCAGTACTCTGGTGTAGTCTTACTAAGGCCTTAATTAGTGCCCTTTTTGGCTGCAAGTTGGAACCCACAACCGCTGAAATATTTAACCAGGCTGCTTGATGGACTTGACTTCAGCCCACTCAAGATTTGCGTTTTGGGGGAGAACTTCCGCTTGCCAGCCTTGGTGGCAGCAGGGATTTGCGTCTCCTCGCAATCCCTGCTGGGCTCACCGTCTTGGTGCCTCCGATCCTGATGGATTTGGAGGATAAGGCTGTTTTGTAAATTCAGCCGAAGACAGGGAAGATCTGGGGAAGGAAAGGGGAATGTCGCAGATTCCCCCCGCATCCAAGATTTGCGTTTTGGCTAGGGATTTGTGAGATGTAAAACCCAAATTATTATTATATTAATCCTCACAACATGAAGACAAGTCTCTGGTTTCAAAGGTTTATTGCAGGAAAGAAAAAGCGGTTGCAAGTGCGGCCTTCAAGACCCTTCCCCAATTGGACTGAGTACAAGGAGAACAAATTTCACTACTTTAACAATACATTTTATATCCCTGCACAGAACACGCCACGCCTAAAAAGCCCTCCCGTTACACCTCCTTATTTTCTATATGCTAAACAACCAACTTGTTTCTTGGGCCTCAGTGTTTTTTTTTTATCTTCCTAGGCTGCCAAGCTTTACCTTTGATGTATGTTCTTATCTTACTTACTCTCCCTAGCCTGGTCAGATCTTCCTGTTGTTCTAATAATGTATCATGTCTTTGTGGAATGTATCATCTATATGTGAATGACCAGGGCCAGGATGTTAGTGCTTCTTTGCCTTGGCTGATAACTTCTTTCAGTAGAAATAACAAAAAGGGAGGGGGGCGGGATTTCATGCAAAGATAAAGGAAGCTAGCAAGGGCACATCAAAAAGGAATGAAAGAAAAGAATATTCTCGTTTATTTCACATACAAAATGAACCAAAGAGCTTTCTAATCTTGCTATATAATGTTCATTATAAAAGAGTAACTTATAATTTTCTCTCAGATTCACGAGAAAGAAACGAAGCCCGACCTGCTAAACTAAAGTCTAGCAATTTCAATTTTTGTTACATTCTTCCCACCCCCCTTTATCTCAGAGATTGAAGGGGTTAAAATGACAGAGCTCTGCTTCCTAGATGGAGCCAAAAATTTTTTTTCTTTCCCTTTAAAGCTGCAGCTGAATTCCTCTTCCTGTCTTTCCTCCTGGATGGCTGGTTTGAAAGGAGACACCACCTTTCTCCTGTTTTTCTTTCTCTCTCCTCTCCTTTTGGCATTTTATATCGCAGATTTGCAAGACTGCAGCGCAGCTGTGGAAGTGAGTCGAGGAAAAAGACGGAGAATTTATGGGGAAAAGGCTATCAGGTGGGAACGTGAGGCTCACAAAAGCAAAATAAGAGGCACCGGGGAGGGGGAATGTTACAAAGATTCTGTAAAGCTGATAGGACGCACCCACCTTGCTTTCCTTTTGGATATTCCGACGATGCAAGAAAAATGCTGCAGCCTCAAAATGAGACAGAGCTGAAGTTAGCAGGAAAAGCGGAAAGCTTTCTTTTTAAAAAAATGGCAGTGCAATTTTTTTAAAAATAATCCAAACTCAAAAATTCTGCTGCAACTAATAGTCATCTGTGCAATGCACTCAGCATCTCAAAGCACAAGGAGCCTTCAAAAGGGGTGGGTGGGTTGCACGCTTCTTTGCATAGCTTTTCCCCAAACCAGGTTTCTCCAGTTAGACTTCAGCTCCTGTAATTCCTAGAGAGCAGCAGAAGGAAATACTATACGCCTTTAAGGCTAAGGACTGCAAGAGTAGAAGGCTGCCTTTCTTTTATTGGAATGAGATCTCTGGTCCAGCTAGCTCTTTTCTCTACACCAGTCTTTCTTAACTTGGCAATCTTAAAAAGCGTGGACTTCAACTCCCAGAATTCTCACAGCCAATGGAATTCTGGGAGTTGAAGTACAGACATCTTAAAACGGCCAAGATTCAAGAGAAGGCTCTCTTGTACCTTTTCCAATCTGCTATTCTGCAAGCAGGCCAGGATAGAGCTCCCATCATCCCCAACCAGCTATTGCTGAGAATTGTAGTCCAACTCTCTGGGATGAGAATCATCACCCAAGAAGTGTTTTGTTTGTTTGTTTTTAGCTGTTTTGGGAACGAGGACTGAACATTCACCAAGGATCTCCTGTTGCAGAGTGAACAGAAGTCGTCTACAGTTTCAGTCTATCCGAAGTTTCTGAGAAGAACTGAGCTAATGTATCTTTAAGAAGGCCGCAAATGAGGATCAGCATCAACAGTGGAGCTACATAGGAGCCCCATCTTGCAAAGCTGAACAAGTATGCCCTTTAAGTGTGTGTGGTTCTTTGTTTTATTTTCTTTGCCTTTCATTTCGGCCTCTGGCAAGGACAGCCTCCTTCTCCAGCACCTCCTGGGTTAGCTAGAAAGAAGGAAGCCCTGGTTGTGGGCCCATCCTGCCCATGATAATATAACAGATAATCAGAATTGGAAGGGACCTTGTAGGTCATCTAGTCCAACCACCTGCCCTATACCATTTCTGACAGATGGGAGTCCAATCTCTTCTTGAAAGTCTCAAGTGATGAAGCTCCCACAACTTCCCAAGGCAAAGTCGTTCCATTGGTTGATGGCTGTCCCTGTCAGAAACTTTCTCCTTATTTCCAGTTTAAATCTCTCCTTGTTCAGTTACCATCCATTATTCCTTGTCCGGCCTTCAGGAGCTTTGGAAACTAGCTTGGCCCTCTCCTTTCTGTGGCAGCCCCTCAAATATTGGAAGACTGCTATCATGTCTCCCCTGGTCCTTCTCTTCACTGTAATTGTTCTCCATATGTTTTGGTCTCATCCTGGTGGCTCTTCTCTGCACACTTTCTAGAGTCCCAGCATCTTTTTTATAGTGTGGTGACCAAAACTTGATACAGTACTCTAAGTGTGATCTTACTAAGGCTTTATAGAGTGGTATTAGTACCTCACTTGATCTTGATTGTATCCCTCTGTTAACGCAACTTAGGATTGCGTTAGCTTTTTTGGCTGCTGCAGCACACTGCTGGCTCATATTTAGCTGGTTGTCCACTAAGACTCCAAGATCCCTCTCACAGTTACTGCTGTTGAGTCTGGTTTCACCCAGTCTATATATGTACTTTTGATTGTTCTTGCCTAAGTTTCTTCCCAAATTTGGGCTCTGTCTTCAACTAGTACTTAGTTTTCCTAATGAATTTTAAGAAAATGTTATCCTAGACGAGAAAAAACGGTATTTCGCCTACTCTAATGGGCTGGTGGAGCATAGTTGAGAAATTGTGCTGCATCGTGGTTATTAACCCTGGTTGTGTATATATTTTTCTCCCTGAGGGCCAACCAAAACTTTTAAAAATGGAAGAAAAAGACCAGGCAGGATCCAGAGGACCTGAGAAGAGATTGGAAGAAGTAGGAAGAGGCCAGGATATCTGTGTAGAGACCAGTGTGAAACCTGTGGCTAAGGCAACACCACCATTTCTGAAACAGAACCTAGAAGATGGACTCCAACAGGACTGGGAAGGCCAGTGTCCAAACTTCTTGACTTGCCCGCCATTTCCTTATCCAAGATGGAAGAATCGAATATCAAAGCCTGGCGGTCAAGAACACCCATCCTCCTTGGAAGGAGTGGAGGAAGGGTATCAGTGGCCTAGAAAAAAATATGCTACTCAAACCAGGGCAGCATTCTGTGAGAAGGCCCACAAGGCCTATGCAAACCTGAACTTTTCTGTGAACTTGAAGGAGGAGATTCTGGAGGACATCCCTGATTCAGAGAGGCAGCGCCAATGGTTCAGGCGGTTCTGCTACCAGCAGGCTGAGGGCCCTCGAGAGGCCGCTAGCCAACTCCGGGAGCTCTGCCACCGGTGGCTGAAACCAGAGGAGCACACTAAGGAACAGATCCTGGAGCTGCTGGTTCTGGAGCAGTTTGTGAGCATCCTGCCCATGGAGATCCAGAGTTGGGTCCAGGAAAGCAGCCCCGAGACCTGTTCTGAGGCGGTGGCCCTGGCTGAGGACTTCTTAGAAAGACAACCAGAGGAACGCCTGCCGAGCTCTCCAGGGAGGGACCAAGGACACGAAAGCTGCCGATCTCCTTGGAATAATGTTTGTGTGGGGACTGGATTTGACAAATCCAATACGATTTGTTGGTGGGAAGGAAATGGGGAGATCACTCGGGTTCAAATTCCGACTTATCTAATGGCTTGGGAAAGACTTTTGGAGATCTGTTGCCAGACACAGCAATTGGATTATTGGGCTGACATAACATAAAGCAAGAGCCTTACTATAGCTTTCCCCCTACCCTGGGCCTTTGTAGGGCGCTCCCGGCATTGTTGCTATTTATAATGTTTGCTGCAACGGAAGAGCAAATTTGTTAAACCCATGGGAAATGCCCATGGTTGTGTTTTAATATGAAGTAATTTTGAATACATCAGCCATGTGCAGGTTTTGTTCTATTCCCATCCATTTTGTGTAGCAAGTTCCTTGTGTACGCTTCTCAAAATGGGGGTTTGGCCCAAGGAAGGTTGGTGACTGCTCTGGTTTAGATGCTGTGGATATCTCTATGATTGATGGGAACTGCAGTACCCGGCAGCCAGAAGCACCCAGGAAAAGAAAGGGGCTTATGGTTGTTAGCTCACTTCCTGCTAAGAGGAGAGAGGCCCAAGTTAGAGAGTGGAAATATCTACCCCATCATTGCTGGGCAACTTGCAATACTGGTAGTGCTCGACTTACAACCAAAATTAGCAATAACAATAGCACTTAGACTTACATACCACTTTATAGTGCTTTACAGCCCTCTCTAAGCGGTTTTACAAAATCAGCATATTGCCCCCAACAATCTGGGTCCTCATTTTATGCACCTCAGAAGGATGGAAGGCTGAGTCAGCCTTGAGCCTGGTGGGATATGAACTGCCAAACTGCAGATAGTCAGCAGAAATAGCCTGCAGTACTGCACTCTAACCACTGCGCCACCAAGGCTCTTTAAGCCAAAATTTGTTGCTAAGCGAGATAATTGTTAAATGAATTTTGCCCCATTTTATATCCTTCCTTGACACAGGTGCTAAGTGAATGAGTACAGTTGTTAATTTAAATTTAAGTATTCCCATTGTGATGGCTAATGGCTTTGTATGTGGTTACCCAAAGAGAAACCACTGTTAATCCAATTTGAGGTAATTTATCCAGGTTTAGGAAGAATAAGGAAACGTCACATTTTCACAGGAAGCTCTGGCTTCATCTTGACCAGGGTCCTGTTTGAATCTTCCTTTGATGTCCTTATTTTGCTTCCAGGTGCCAGAGTCTTTGGGAAACCTGCCTGCTAAAAGCCCCACCTCAGAGCAGCTGCTGTCTGATGATCCAGGAAAGGGGCAACTAGTCAGCAGTGGCAAGTCAAAAAGTGATAAGGAAACCTTCTTACTGGGAGGTAGGTCATAGCTTCTAAAGGCAACAACATGCGAAATAATAGAAAATACTTGTAGCTCGGGTTTAAGACTTCGGCAGTGGCTTCTTCTCTGAGCTTGTTTTCCATTTTGTTCCCAAATGTACCTCTTTAGCTTAGATATGTCTTGTGTGCCCTGTGGTCAGTTGGTCATGTGTTTGTTTGTTCATTTGGAGCTACCGTGTTTCTCATATAATAAGGCCGGGTCTTTTTTTTTTTTTTGAGCCCTGAAAAAATGGCTAGGCCGTCTTTTCGGGGGTGACTTAATTCCCCCCCGCCTTGCATCTTCGGGCGGGTGGGCGGTGACAGCTTGGATGTTGACCTCGGCGTTGGTGGGGCACTTCGTATCAGGGTCAACGCAGGCAGCACCATATCCGGGTGTGCCACAAAAGTACTTCCTAATGGCGACCCCCCCACACCATTCCCCCCCATTTCGCATGTTTTAATATAGGCCTTAACTTGGGGGAGGGGCTTAATTTCATTTCATGCCTATGAAACATGCTGAGACTTCCTATTGGGGGAGGCGGTATTGTTGGAGAAACAGGGTATATTTAAATGTGGAATATATCCCAACATATCTCTAATCCTAATAGTAACCATAGTGTTCCAACTGCCTTTTGTTATGGTTTTTTGTTAGACTCCTTAAAAGAATAAGAGAGTTGGAAGGGACTTTGGAGGTCTTCTAGTCCAACCCTCTGCTCAAGGCAGGATATTAAACCAGACCAATTCCAGAAACCATTCTTTATATGTTTACTTGACTAGGATTGGTCGTGTACAGATCATGGAGAAGGTGTTGTCCTTCTCCATGATGAAAATAAGGAGAAAAAGACGCTGTTTCCCAAGATAATAGGAAAAACAGTGAAGGATGTGGCTGGATCTTGACATACTGTCTGAAGCAGAAGAATGATGAAAGAATGGTCACAGCCTGTCTGAAGTTCAAAGTAAGCCAGTTCAGGAAACAAACTCTCATGCCCCTGTGGGAATCTGATTCTGAGGGAGAGGTGGAACAGCTGACAGGGAGTGGGAGTGTGGCTTCAGTGGCTGTGGAGGAAACTGGCGAAGGGCACAGTCAGGTTGGGCATTCAGAGGAAGACCCAGGCCCACCCCCTCTTCATCCTAGGGCATGCAGGGAGGAACGGATAAGGGAGCAATGTGAGTTGCATGGTTTACAGGGGAGGAAAAGGCCCTGATCCCCTTCATTGGCTGCAGCTGGGAAGACTATTTAAAAGTACAAACTGCTCATGGCAAAGTTGCTGGAAGCAAAGCGTGAAATTATTCTGGTTTGTCAAGTCTTATCTGAGTTCTGGCACCCTCCCAAGTGTGTGTGTGTTCCATTATCTTTTGAGGTCTTCAATCCCTTATCCTGCCCTGTCTTGTTATTGCTGCAGTGTGGTTTGTGTTGATTTTTATTTATAATTTATATGTACTTTGAGTTCGGACAGAATTTCTTCCTTTTAAAAACTGTTCTTGGGAGAGTTTTTCTCTCCAGCCAGTGATAACTGGACATTGGGGACCAAGTTGGAGGAATTAAAGGCACTTTACCTATTTTTGTGACTTTGTTGCTTTTGTGCCATGCCCTGGGTCATCACACAAACTATGGAACTTCGGTGATTCAGGCTAGACTTTTCCCTTCCTCTTATACTCTAGTGCCGTGTTTCCCAATCTTGGCAACCTGAGGAAGTGTGGAGTTCGGTTCCCAGAATTCCCCAGCCAGTTATGCTCCCATCACCTGTGTTGAGTTATTTCAAAGTCATCTCCAGGACTCTCTACACAACCATTGAAACGGGCCTTACGTATAGTCCTCCTGAAGATAACAAATTTTCTCGTGTTTGTTTGCGTGTACCTTTGAGTCAATCATGATACCAGCCTGGACTGGCCCTGGATGTTATCTCAGAAATATTTTCAGAGTGGTGTACAATTGCCTCCTTTCTAGGTCTGAGAGAGAATGACTGGCACAAGGTCACCCAGCTGGCTTTGTGCCTAAAGTGAGAGTGGAACTCTTAGTCTCCCAGTTTCTAACTGGTGCCTTTAATGGTCTGACATGTATTGTAAACCTGAGAATCTTTTTGATAGATATTGAACATTTTAGATCTTAGGTAAAGGTTCCCCTCACACAAGTGTGCTACTCATTTCTGGCTCTAGGGGGCGGTGCTCATCTCCGTTACAAAGCTGAAGAGCCACGTCTCCATGGTCATGTGGCCGGCATGACTAAATGCTGAAGGCGCACGGAACGCCGTTACCTTCCCACCAAAGTGGTCCCTATTTTTCTACTTGCATTTTTACATGCTTTCGAACTGCAAGGTTGGCAGAATCTGAGAGAAGTAACGGGAGCTCACTCCATTACGCAGTGCTAGGGATTCGAACCGCCGAATTGCCGACCTTTCTGATCGACAAGCTCAGCGTCTTGGCCTCTGAGCCACCGCTTCCCTTTTTAGATCTTAGATAGAGATATAGAAGATAGATATAAAGTTGGCCTTCCAAATTTCCCTTCTGCCAATTGTTAGCTTTTTAATATGGTTAAAATCAAAGAAGTGGAGTTTATTTTGGCAGTGTGTAACAGGAAAGCACCAGAACTGGGTGAATTTCTTCTTTCACTTTAATGAAACATGTGTTCCTAAACTTGATGAATTACACAGAGTTTTGAAATTGGCATCTTCTTCACTTAATGAAGCGTAGATTACAGTTGTACCTTTTATTTATTTTATTTATTTATTTTGTCAAGCAATTATAAGATAACAGGTATAAGTATAAACATAGTTATGGATACATGAAATGAAAAAAAAAAGAAACAATGAAATGAAAAAAAAAAGAAACAATAGGACAGGGATGTTAGGCACGCTGGTGCGCTTATGCACGCCCCCTATAGACCTCTTAGGAAAGGGGTGAGGTCAATAGTAGACAGTCTAAGATTAAAGTTTTTGGGGTTTGGGGAAGAAAGCACAGAGTCAGGTAGAGTATTCCAGACATTGACCACTCTTTTACTAAAGTCATATTTCCTGCAATTAAGTTTGGTGCAGTTTACTTTGAGTTTGTGTGCTCTTGTATTGTTACGGTTGAAGCTGAAGTCTTCATTGACGGGTAGGACATCGCAATGTATAATTTTATACACTATACTTAGATCGGACCGAAGGCGGCGTAGTTCTAGGTTTTCTAGGTCTAGAATTTCGAGTCTGGTGGCCTAAGGTATTCTGCAACGAGTAGAGGAGTGGAGAACTCTTCTTGTGAAATATTTCTGGACTTTCTCAACTGTGTTAATATCAGATACGTAATGCGGGTTCCAGACGGATGAGCTGAATTCAAGTATTGGTCTAGCAAATGTTTTGTATGCTCTCGTTAGTAGTGTGATATTACCAGAGAAAAAGTTACGTAAGATTAGGTTAACAACTCTTAATGCCTTTTTGGCTATGTAGTTACAGTGGGCTCTAGCACTTAGATTATTAGAGATGAGAACTCCAAGGTCCTTGACAGAGTTTGGATCATCAACAAGGTCTTAACTTCATAACGATGGACACTCCATGCTATTGGATTGTGACTCACAACTCTCTGTTGATCCTTGCAGGTAACAAAGACACAGAGGCAAAAGAAGATGGATTCCTTGAGCAGGAAACATCTTTGGCCAAAGGGACACTTTTCCCATTCCATGATGAGAAAGAGGCCGATCCTGAAAATCAGCCAGAACTACAGAGCTTTCAAAAAGACCATCCTAAAAAGACCAAGCTTTGCCAAGGAGGTGATGAACATGTTGTCAAAGGAGACCCAATCCAGAATAAAAGCGAAAGGAAATGCACAGAGTGTAGACACTTCTGCGAGGTCGATGACCTTCCTGCCAATCAGAAAATGAACCCGGAAGAATTTTACATCTGCCCCCAGTGTGGGAAAACCTTCCAGAACGGAGTGCCCCTAGCGTCCAGCCAGGGAACTGCGGCCAGGGCTAAACCCTATCCGTGCTCAGAGTGCAGCAAGAGCTTTGGCACCAAGGCCGCCCTCCTGAAGCACAAGGCAACCCACACGGGGGAGAAGCCCTACGTGTGCGCCGAGTGCGGGAAGTGCTTCACCACCAGCTCCAACCTGATCTACCACAACATCGTCCACACGGGGGAGAAGCCCCACAAGTGCGCCGACTGTGGCAAAGGCTTCCACTGGAAGTCGTCCTTGATCACGCACGAGAGGACTCACACGGGGGAGAAGCCGTACGCGTGTCCCGAGTGCGGGAAGAGCTTTGGGAACAGCTCCCAGCTCCTGAGGCACAAGAGGGTGCACACGGGCGAGAAGCCCTACCACTGCTC